CTCAAAGCTTTCGGGGTCTTTCAAATATGCATAGATATTTCCAAATTCAGGATCAGCTTTCAAGTTCAGTAATAACCGTATCTCTAGAATCTAAAATTTTTGAAGTCAACACAGCGCATTTAAGTTCATTTCCTTCATCGTCCAGTTTTATACGAGAAAGTGCGTCAGCTACATTGTTTTCCTTACCCGGTTTATATTTTATTTTGATATTATTCTTGGAGTTTTAAAGCCCATCTTATTAACCTGGGCGTTAGGTTTTTTCCCCGAGTAAAGTCTACCAACAGCCGCATGATCCGAAAAGACTGTTACTGGCGCTTTGCCGAAATAAACTCGAAATTTGTGTACAGCCATTAATACGGCTAATGTTTCTCTTTCTGTAGCTGTATAATTCCTTTGTGTCTGATTCAACGTTTTACTAAAAAATGCCAGAGGATGGTTATTTTGCATAAGAACCGCACCCACCGCATAGTCTGACGCATCTGCTGCAATTTCCAGGTTTTCGTCCCCCTCCGGGAATTTTAAAACAGGGGCATTAATGAGCGCTTCTTTTAATCTTTCAAAAGCTGTGTTTGCTTCCGCTGTCCACGTAAATTTACCCCTTTTTCTTTTGATTACTAAGAGTGGTTCAACAATATTAGCGAAATCTTTTATGAAAGATCGATAGTAAGAACATATCCCAAGGAAAGAAGAAAGTTTCTTGGCGGTGTTGGGCGGTGGGAACTTCTTGATAGCTTTTATTTTTGAATCTTGCGTTTCCATACCCTTTTGCGAAATTTTATAACCGAGATATTTAAGTTCTTTAGTTGCGAACTTGCATTTTGAGGCGTTAATTGTAAGACCGGCCTCTTTTAATAATTTAAAAACTTGTTCTAGATCATTAATGTGTTGTTCCAACGTACTACTCGTTATAATTATATCATCTAGATAAATTAAAGTTGATTTTCCTAGGACAGGCTTTAGAACAATGTCCATAGCTCTCTGGAATGTTGATGGGGCCCCACACAACCCAAAGGGCATGCGTAAAAATGCATAAGTGCCCGATTTTGTTATAAACGCGGTTTTATGTATGTCTTCGGGTCTCATAGCTATTTGATAGTAGCCAGACCAAAGTAGACATGTATCTTGTCGATTTGATCTGTCTAATGATCTCGTCTATAACCGGCAAAGGGTAAACTGGAAATTTAGTAATACTATTTATTTAGTTTTCTGTAATCAATAGCAAACCTCCAAGCCCCTTTTATCCGAAGGAGGAAACTCGTTTCTTTTTCCTACATAGTACGACTGGACTCGCGTACTCACTATTTATGGGCGTTATTATTTTTATTCTTTAACATCTCCTGAATATGTTCTTCGATGATTAGGTCTTTTTGTTTATCATAACGATACGGTTTAGTCCTACAAGGTTTTTCGGCATTTAATTGAATCTTATGCGTAACTATTTGACAATTTCCTGGTTTTTCTGAAAACAAATTAGAAAAATTACTCACCACTTGCTGTATTGCTTGCCTTTCATGGTCATTCAGATGGCTAAGGTCCACTTGCGGTGTCTCCACAGGTTCCACCACCCTCTGGTCCATCTCCAACACCACGGAACTGTCTTGAAAATTTAATTTGGCCCTCGCGGCCCTTAAAAACTCCATACCTAAAATAAGAGGATTTTGCAGATTTTTCACTATAAAAATTAATACTTTGAGGCTTTCCTCTTTTACCTGTAAGTTTAATGATAATTTCCCGATGCAGTGACATGTTTTTCCCTGCGCCGCTATAATTTCCGTATTTTTGGTTTTAAATAATCGTACCCTATAAAAATTCTTTTTGAAGAAATTTTCACTCATAAAATTTCCTTCTGCTCCTGTATCGATGAAGGCTTCTACTGGTACATCGCCAACCAGGACTTGTATAATTGGTAGCTGTGAGTTTTTTACGATGACCGTATTTAAATGTCTATTTGAGGGTTTTTAAAACTTCCGGGATCTGGACCCTCCCTTTCACAGGCCCCTCTACTCGTTTAAAGCTTTCCTTTCAATCTGTGCCTTCTGGGTACGCGGATGTTTATTTTCGAATTTTCTTTTTGGGCCTTGACCTTCGAGTTTCGATGAGTTAGCTTGATAGCTCTTTCCCCCATAAGAGCGATTTCCATTTCTGGTTTCCTCATTTGAAGATTTCCTTCGGGTACTTTGAGAATACGTGCCCCTCTGGCTTTTTTCGCTATTCTGCAATTTTGAAACTTCACCGCCAATTCGAAGAGCTCCTGCAATGTGCTTGGGTTTCTAATTTCAAAGTAGTCTTGAACAGCGGGTAACAATCTTGGTAAGATTATTTCAATAATCTCCGCATCGGGTTTCTTCCCATACAGCATATCCGTCAGCTTAATTTTTCGTAGAATAAAGTCCGTCAATTCTTCTATATCCCGTTGATAGAAACTATATAGTTCGGCTTCCAGCCGTGCTCGATCTTTCACTATGGGGAAGGCCTTTACTAACGATTTTTTGAAATTTTCAAATGTATATGTCTGGCTTCCAAATTCCCCTAATAAAAATTTGCCTATATTTTTCCACCATAGCGCGGCCTGTCCTCTTAGTGCTGATGTGGCGATGGCAACTTTTTGTCTTTCAGGAACAGGGTAGAGCTGAAAGTGGTTTTCTAGACCTTCTAGAAATACCGCCACCGAATTTTTTCCGTCGAAATGGACGTTTGGCTTGATTGACGCTCTCAAAGTCTGGACCAGGTATCCAAATCCTTCCAATTGGCTTGTCATTTCTTGGTATTGTCCAGCGGCTTCCATCCAATTTTCGGCCATTTCAGTTCGATAAGTGTTCGGGCGCCAATGTAGCGTTGCGCGCCTCCAACTTGCACGCAACCAAGAGGTGACTGTGAAAACTGGATAAAAGACAGAGTCTTGTTAAGGGTTTAAGTCCCTTTTTATTCAACGTAATAAATTACAAGTGCGTGCTCTTGACGCTCACAGACTGCGCCAACTCGGCGGTCAAATAAAAATAATAACCTGAAAAGAAACTAAAGACAAGACTAACTACGAGGCTCTCTAAAAGTAACTAACCTCACCGCGTTTTACAATACCGCTGCTAATTCAGCAAACTTGAAGATCACTTGAACGATTAACACTACTTCCAGGCAAGCACACAGGCCGAAACGCGGGGTTCTTCAATTTCTGGCCAACTACCTCCGCGCTCGTGAAGTAAGAATATCACACACTCGAACTCGTTTCCTTTCTATTTAAATCAGAATACTTCCGCTGATAATTTGAATCCTTGCGCGTTCTGCTAAAATTTACATACTCTGGCATTGGCAGTTCCAGGGGAAAAGTAAGGCTTGACAGGAAAGGTAGTTTAAACTTAAAATAAATGTTAGTTAAAATAAATATAAACCCTACAACTGCCATTGCGTAATAAATCGCAATAATAAATATCTGTTGAAATGCAGTCAAAAGTAGTACATTTTTAGCAATAAGTCGCTTTCGAAGTTGATAATTCACTATATTTATATGTCTCACGTCTTTTAGGGGAGAAGGAGCGAATAACTTCATAAATTGTAAATGACTGACTTTAGATTTAAAATATTTTAAGTACATGTAACCTATTAAAATTTATTAAAGTTGTTGCTGACAGTCTGTCTCAAAATGGAAACCACCATCAGTGAAGGCTTCCCATCAACAAGATATACCAGTTTCAAGGAATGTATACAGTATATTCATATCTAGTGGATTATCGATATGTCAACGATTATCGATATGGATTCAATCGATGAATATTTCATTTAGTATTTTTCACGGGTTACAACCTAAAATTTTATTGAACTTTTGTTTATGTTTTAAGTCTCCTTTACATATCTTAAAATAGTCTTCGTTTGTTGTTCGTAGAACTTGATAAATTTTTTTTTTAATGCCAGAAGATTTTCTACTTCTTTTGAAATTAGTTGGTAATTTTATTATTATATCACATTCGTATACCAGTACTTTTCTTTGGCAGACTCCATAAGACTTTAGTAGGATTAATCTATTATATTATGCAAATCTATGACTGCCATTATTGATTGTAGGCTTCTTTAAAATGGTCATCTCCTCAAAAGATCAGAAATAACTGGAATCTTGAGTAGTCGTCTTAGAGATGTTCATTCTATATTACGTAATACTCGTACATGCATTTCACTTCATACTGAACATTTATTTTTAATGTTGCAGCATAAAACGCAGAAACATGTACAGTTTACAATAGAACGAAAGGGGGAAATTAGAGGCCCAGTAGTAATTAATAGTAAATTCTGCTCAAATGTTGTTAACTACCGAGTCCTAGCTGGGAATGGCAATTTTATTGCACGTATAAGGGTAATAATCTATGGAAAGTTAACGTAGTTATTTTTCCTTACAACCTTATTAATTGTCTCACTCAGAAAAACTTAAAAGGGGGAATTGTGTTTTCTTGGATTTTCAAATACAGTCCACCCCAAACTGAGCTCTTTCAAAAAAAAAGTTTATTTATTGCGGAAAATTAAAGAAAAAATTTCTATCAAAAAACATCATCATAAAACAAAACTATCTGCGAAAAATACGAAAGGAAAAGAAAAATGCTTGGAATAACAGCCATATAATGGAGGATGATAACTGCCATTTTTTGCCATTTATAACTTAGTTTCTTCATTTCCTAATGACACTTATGTTACTATCATTTATAATTTTTTCTTTTTGCTTTGAATATTTATTTACATCATGTAACCAAATTAACTTATTATTTCGTGAAATTGCCTGTAAATAACTATTAAACTGATAGCAGTATTTTTATATTAATTATAACATGGATTATTTCTCTTTCCTTATGTTTATAATGTCAACACCATTTGGTCAACGCAAAACAACCAAATGCCTTTTATTTACTCAAATAAAAACGAAGTCGTATTTATATACTCTATATGTTAAAGTTTTATTAATAATAATTACTAAATTTGCCTGTATTTGTAAAATTAAATATTACATTATTTTTCCTCAGGTTCTTCTCCTTGTTGCCAGCCTGAAGATTACCTGAAAGTGAGATGGACAATGACAGCTTCTAATACGGAAAACATTCAACTTTGCCCAACGGGTTACACAGGTAAAGTTGGAAAACATTATTCTTTGTTTCAAATACGGAAAGAGTAGAGATCAATGGCAGAGATGTTAAAATAGGTGGATGCTGGTAATTTTTTTCCGGATTTTTATTCTGAACTGATTGTACGAATGTTTCGAGATTTTCGTTTCATATTAAAAAATATAATTCAGTTTCTTCTATAAAATCTTCCTCGGGAGGAATTTATTGTAATAAAAATATCCTCAATTCAAATGAATTTTAATATTTCATTCACTTTTACAGAAATTAAACAGGTGGGAATACCTCATTCTTCTGACGCTTGCGAATTAAATATGTCAACTTCTAATAATTATTTACTTTCATTAGCCTGTATATAACTATGTAATCTCTGTCTACAAAAGTTCATACACAGGTTTTATTTTTGAAACCGTTGATGGCAGACATACAATCCCAATAACAAAAACGTTGAATAGAACGCAAGTATTCCTATTCTGTTTTCGTAAATTTTTAATTTAAAATAAGAAAGTTTTTTAAAAATTCACAAAATATAACTTTTTGTATGTTCGTCTACTCCCTATATTTATGAAAATATAAAACCTTCGTAAAAAATAAATATAAGAAATGTTTACAGAGAGATATTTCATTTTAAAGTGGGACACATGTTCAGCAGCCATACACAAATTGAACAGAGAAATGCTTGCATATGTGCTGACTCAAACTAAAATTTTAGTTTAGAAATTAGTTTCTTATTTTAACATATTAAGTGAGCAGAATTTCTGTGCGGATTGCCATTAAAAGTATAGATCAGTATAATGCTTTTCTAAAAGGAAATTCGTTTACAGAGTCTTATAAAATTCGTGTTCTAAAAAACACTAGCAGGCTTCCGTATTGGCAGATAGCCCACTCATAACATTATTTACATTTATTAAAAATATTTCTAGTTTTGTCATTTTTTCTGTGTGATTATTAGATTATGATTCTAAAGTAGCAAAACTGCAGGAGAATATTCTTTTTAATGGCTTCAACTAGCCATTACAGGCGTTGGCCGTTGCTAAGACCGAAAGCGGTGGTCACTTTATTATGGAGGCACTTATTACGTGGGCCACCGTTAACTCCTATGAAGGGACAAGAAGCCAGAAAGGAGCTCTGCACTTATTAGGTGGGCCACCGTTAACTCATATGAAAGGACAAGAAGCCAGAAAGGAGCTCTGCACTATTAGGTGGGCCCCCGTTATCTCGTATGAAGGGACAAGAAGCCAGAGAAGGGCTCTGCACTTAGTGTATGGCCACCGTAACCTCCTATGAAGGGACCATAAGCCAGAGAGCGGCTCTGATCCTGGCCCATACACGATTATTACCCCAACTCCAAAATATATCTAATAGTGCGATGTAGCAGCCCAAATCAGCCCGAGACAGACCTGTCAGTGTCCGTACAGTCCTTGCGAAGCTCGAGCGGACTACCGATAGTTGGTGGCTCTAGTTCTGTAATACAATCTATTTATCCAGTTCTATTCTTCAAAATAGAATCAGAAAGCGTACAACTTAAATTTTGATATCTTTCTTAAAACATCCTAAAACTGAATGTGTAATTATTGAGGGGGGACTATAATGAAACTCTTTTCGATCATCTGCAGAAAAAGGAAGGACTAAATTGCCACTCCTTTTTGTTGGCACTCCAGAAAACGGGAAGTGGGAAAGGCTGAAATGGAACATCACGAATGCAAGAGCCTTTCCCTTTAAAATTTGAGCCTTTACAACAATCCTATTGTAAGTTTTGAGAGTTGATAAATGTGTTTTGCTTTAACTGCCTTGGTCTTTTGACTTGCGAGGAAAATTATTTGCGTTACATACGAAAACACTTAGTAGCAGTCACTGGTCAACAGAACTATTATTTTATATGGCTTTAATTTGTCTGTAATGCCTTTTAATTCGTTATACTCGTTATATTTTCGCTGTATTTTAAGTAAAGAAAAATATTTAATAAATTTTTATTATAGTACTATTTTTTATTACATTTTTATTAAATTAACAGGTGATGTTCGAAGGAAGTGTGTCCATGACAGTAACACAAACAGTGCATCATGGGGCGAACCAGACTTTTCTGGCTGTTTTTCAAGTGGATTCTTAAGTTTAAGGAAAAAGGTAAATACAACTTTTTATTGTTACATATCTTATACATTTTTTTTATTTTCGTTTTTATAATAGAACTTATTTATAGATTTTATATTGCGAGGAACAATCGAAAACTAGCACATATTGAATAACTTTTCCCTTTCGACTTTACAAGTACAGCAAAACCTCGAGATAATCATGTAGTATGTGTTCTATGACTTTTAGTTAAATACTTATTTCCTAGATAACAAATAAAACAGGAGCACTGTAAGGGCTGTAACTTTCCTGAATGATGTTAGCTTCAAGCAGCTCTGCCACCTGTCTATCTAGTTCATCCCTGAGATGGTAAGGTACTTTATAAAGCTTTTGCCTAACAGGAATATTATCACGCAAGTTGATGTTGTGTAAGATGGTGTCACACACCCTGTTAACTCAGTGACTGAGGCAGCAAAGATGTTACTATACTGATTGAGAAGGTGTGATAATTGTTGTTGTTGCTGCTCAGGTAAATGTGTAAGATCAAATTCACCACCCCAAGACTCGAAATCCTCACCTGTTTCTATGGTGGTACTGTTTACAAGTTCAGAGTTATGTGCGATGACATTCACAGGTTGGGCACTGGCCAATTTCATTCCTTTATTGAGATGTAGAGTATTCGGTGAAAAATTTGCAATTTTGACATAAAATTCCTGAGATGGAGAAGTCTGGTTAACTGACCTGGCTATGGAAAATTTACTTTGAGCATGTTCTATTAAAGGTTCAATCAAAACAGTATTAGTAGTAAAATTTGCAGAACGAGTAGTGAGCTTAATGATATTTTCTGAAAAAGGTGGTAATTTATGTTTGGTTACAGAGTAACAAAATGACTGAGAAACTGAAGTTGAGAAAACATTACTATTCATAGCACTAGGCTGACTTAGATTCCATTTAAGAATTACATTTGATCCTAACAGTTGAGAAGTGGAGAAATCTAAATGCATGTTATTGTCTACAAGAAATTTAGTTCCTAATAAAGCACCATACTGAGATGAAAGAGGTGTGTCAGTAATCAAAAATTCTGTTTCAAAATATTGTTGTTGAAATTCTACTATTAAATTGATCTTCTTAGTTATTTTTACTTTTTCTGCAGCTATACCCTTTAAATATATATTACATGTGTCCAATGAGATTTTACTTCCAAAACAATTAATGTATTTAGCTTCTATGATGTTTACAGTTGCCCCTGAGTCCAATAAAAACTTAACTTTATTCCCCAAAATAGATCCCTCTACAATAGGCAAAGACGCCTCACTAGTGGATACAGTAAAAACTGATGGCACCTCCAAAAGGGTTTTAGGAGACGAAACGGAGACTGGTTTCTCCCCACCCTGAATTAGTTTAAATTAAAACTTGGTGCTTGGGGATTCAAAGCATTTGTAGCCACACTTGTGGTATTTGGAGTACCCGAAACAGCTGGTGTGGTGTTATTAGGATGTCTCCTGGCTGTTTGGTTATTTCGAAATCTCTGTTGACCCTGTCTAGAGTGCTGATTAGGCACAATATTCGCATAGCAGTCCCTGCTAACATGCCCTATTCTGTTGCATCTGTAACAACGAGGCTGTATGGGTCTTGAACGAGTACTTGTGATATTAAACTCTGCACCTGTGTTTGGAAGAGAGCCCATCATTTTTAGTAAGCTGAGCTATATTTTCTTGTTGCATTTTAATAGCTGTAGTGAGCACTGAGTTGGTTACTGATGGTGTTGTAACTGACTTTTCGATTGCTGGCTTAGCAGCATTTACCGCTCTAACCTCAGCTGTTGCAAAATCACTACCAGCATGGCTCTTAGCCCACATGTCTTCTTTAATAATTGCATGTTGTTTAGCAGATGCAAAAGGTTTGTGATTCTGTGGCAGCAACAAGCGTCGCAATCCTTCGATAAGTACTGACAGAAGTAAATCCTCGGTCGCGGACACTTAGCCGACAGGACACTTAACCGACACCAGTTAGCCGACAAGACATTTAGCCGACAGGGAAACTTAGCCGACATGGACATTTAGCCGACAGAACATTTAGCCGACAGGACATTTAGCCGACAAGGACACTTAGCCGACACGGACACTTAGCCGGCAGGACATTTAGCCGACACGGACACTTAACCGACAGGTCATTTACCGACACGGACATTTAGCCGACAAGACACTTAGCCGAAAAGGCACTTAGTCGACAAGACATTTAGCCGAAACGGACAGTTAGCCGACAGGACATTTAGCCGACACGGACAGTTAGCCGACAAGACATTTAACTACGGGACACTTAACTATCAACACATTTATTCGACAGGACACAAAGCTGACAGTAACGTTTAGCTGGCACGTACCCAATAATTGTTCAAACTTACTATCAATTACGAATTTCTCGTCTTCTTCGTAAGTTCAATATTTAAGTTATTTTTTCACTATCAGTAAAATTCATTTTTCGATTCTTAAAGATCTCATATATATATTTTAATTATTGTGTTAATTTAGCATTGTTTGATATATAGCCATGGACCTTATAAGAAATAGACCAACCCAAATGGGTTTTCTCCCATGCCTTGGCGTATTGCCGGCTATCACCTTGACCACATCCGGAGGAGTAGGGACGACTTACAGAAACTTAACAATAGTTGGCTTGCAGCGCGTATAATTTTCAAGGAAAAAGCTGGTGATAGCACTTCATTTCACAAATTATAATTTTTAGATATTTTTATTTTTGAAACTCAGATTGATTTTTTAAAAATTTAGCACTGTTTATCAAGCATAATTGATGTTCTAAATAATTATAAAGCTGTTGTTTGTTTTGTTGTTTGACTTCTGAATTGGTAATTATAAAGCTATTGCATGCTTTCAGGTCTGGATATTTTTGTAGCTTTTCCTATGCTGTAAAGAAATTTGTATCTCCTTCTTTTAAAAAATAATATTTTAAATCTGAACTAATAGAAAGATTCAAACAACAATGGTCTCTTGCAATTTTTATGCTTTTTATTGGCGTAAATAAGTAAAAAATACTAAAATCGAAAAAATGGATTTTTTAAAGTTTTTGCTTAAATTCTATTTGTACTGCTTTTTTAAAAGTATATCTGAATTTATAGCATAATATTATACAAAGAAGTTTTATTTCAATAGTTTCATAATACATCACGGTAATTAACACTTTTAACACTTTAATAATTTTTTATGCATTTATTCTAATGTTAAAAATTGTATTTAACTGTAATAATTAATTGTGCTAGTAGTTTATAGTGTATTATTTTGTTTAATTTATGTCTAGTTCTGCATAAGCTTTCTTATTTATTGCTAATTTATTTATTAACTCAAAGGGGCGGCAGCTCAGAAAAGCTATTAGTTTCGAAACGGCATTTTGCTTTGTTTCACTATAAATGACCGTTTCAATTTGCAAACTGTTGCCACCAAATATTATCCCCCTGTATTAAATTGAAAGAAATTAAATAATGAAGAATCTGCATGAATGCATGTGTGTTTCTCTCGCACTGTGAAAACAACAATAGAATTTAGAATCATAAAATTTTGAATAACGTAATCCTCCACTGGATAATGGGCACCTGGACGGCCTAATTTCGAATTTGTTTTAATCCATTTGATATTTTGTAACTTTAATGAAGTTTTGATTAAGAAACTCAACGAGTTCAAAGCAAGCAATGGCAACCCTGTACAGAAAATAACGATCTCCAGTGCGAAAATTCTAAAGATATGTCATTTTCAAATATTTTGCGATATTGTTCTTGAATTAAATTTTATGTGGTTTACTTGCGAAGAACATGATGTTTAATAAATAAAGGTAACACGCAAAACGTTACAAAAACGCTCCTTTGCTTATATAAAATTATATTGCTGAGTGCTTCCAGAGTTTATCATTTTTCCCCCCTCATTACGCTCAAGAAAGTTTATGCTCCGAATTTTATGAATTACTAAAATAAATATTCATCTTGCAATGTTAATAATTAATGATCATATAATCAAATAAATGATAGTCTTGTTATGTTATAATAATTTTAAAAACTACTGCCTGAAAATGCTCATAAAATCAAAGAAAATTATCAGATCTTGTTTAATTTTACCTTTGTTTCAAAGCATCATATGCTATCAGTATTATTTAATTTTACTTTATTTGTACAGAAAAGTAAGTTCATAAGTTTTGCGTTTCGAATTTTTACCGTTTTACTAAAGTAAAGAAATTTATGCAAGAATTACGCTTGAAAAAAATGCGCAAAATGCAGTAAAAAGTGCTTTTATGAGCTATGTTAAATCTTGTTTTCAAAAACTGGGACTTTCATAATCTCATCACTTATACAACGTATCACATTTAATAATTAAAAACAGTCATGTGATACAAACGCCAGCGGTTTCCGTATTAAAGTAAGTCAGATCGTCCCTACTCTTTCTTACGGGCCCACCAGCGGCCGAGCGGTAACGTCGCTGAACACTGGTAGTTCGGTCCGAAGTTCGAATGCCACGAACGGGCTGGCTGCATGGCTGTTCTCGTGGTTTGCCCCATGTGAAACGTGTATACGAGCAAGTTTCCCTTAAAAAGTCCTCCACGAAGGCATCCCTTTATAAAGCGCTGAAATTTCTCGTCAGGGAATATGAATGAAATTTCGAAAGGAAAAAAGAATTTTTTTAGCTAAGTACGGTGGTCACTTAATTACATTTTAACGTGACATCTTCAAAAATTATCCATAAAGCTTCTTCATTTAATCAACTCGGTTCTTTTGAACACTTTCACTTCATTAATAATTTTTCTTGTTTACTTAATGATGTTAATTTTCCAATCTCGCTCTTCCAAATGCTTTCAAATTTTTAATACCTTTACGTTTCATTACTATTTTACACATCACATCATGTTACATTTTTTCCTTTACAAAATCGTTTGGCTCTTCCCACTAAGGAAATTTCCTTTCCCTGTCATGAGAAATCTCAATAATGCAATAAAAATTATTGTTATTCTTGAATTATACTTTTTATGGAAACATATGGTGGTGAGGGTTAGTTTAGCAAATATATTTTATTTTGTTATTAAAAACAATTAAAAAAGTGAATTTTTAAGACAAGCAAAGGTATAAATTATTTGTGACCTCTATAATTTGCAGTTCATGCCACCATTCTTGAGATAAAAATTCTGTAACATTTTATTGACCACGCCTCTCGCTTAAAATACTTACTTAGATTAATGTTTATGGTCCTAAGCTAGTGCATAATGTTTAATTTAGAAGTAAAATATTCTTTAAGGTTT